GATTCTTCACTAATTGGGCACCCAAAACCTAAGTTTCTTTGTCCTGTCAATTCCACACAAGTTTATTATTTCTTTGTCTAAAAAGTACAAAAGCTGCCTGCTTTGGCTACTTCTTAGGTCCCATTTCTATGGGACTTCCATGCGCATGAATTAAAATGTTTTCTTTTCTCATGTTAATCTGTCTGCTATCAATTTTATTATTAGTTTAGCCACAAGAACTCAACACAGGTAGAGGGAGAAATTTCCCCCTCCTAACAATATATATACTATGTTAAGTGTAGTTGTTAGTTTTCACAAATGTATAGTTATACCACCATCAAGATGGAGGACACTGTCACCCCAAAAGAACTCTCCTGTTTGTACTGAACCCTTCCCACCCTTAACCACTGATCTGTTTTAGCTTCCTATATCGTTGCCTCTTCCAGAATGTCATACAAATTGACCAGCATATTGCCTTGAGTCTTAATGGAAAATTTGACTTTGTATCTGTAAAACTGCATATTGATACAAACTTTGTGTTCTTCTGAGTTTGCGATTTTTGCCATTGCCCAGAAGAGTGGCACACATTATGCTTTCAAAACTGGGAGATTTCATTGTTATCAGCTATATGAATTAAGTTAAGACCCCATGCTTAACTTTCTTCATTTGTATGTGGGAGGAATGATGGGGACAGATCAAATGAGATATTAATAATTGTAAAGTCACATGTCAACACTGCTAAGAAAGCATAAATTAGTACTGAAAAATAAGGGGAGCAAGTTTGAACTTCCACCGCTGTCTAATGAAACCAAACTGTCACCTTTTACCCTACCTTCCATAACATGTGAAAATGTAAACACGGATATGATCCCTGAAAACAGAAAAAAAATGAGCTTTGAGGGCTTTGTGCATAAACCTCCCAGCTACTCCTCTTATAAGAAGGCATAGAAAATATCCTAGTTTGAGGACGTCAAATATACCTCTTTTCCCACTCCATTCAGATATTACTCAAAATGATACCTCTGATTGCAGCTTACCTCATTTACTCCTTGGATAATTGCCCTCTAAACAGCCATAGCTATTTTTGGTGTTTCAACGAGGAAATCATATTGGACTTGCACAGATATCACTCTACTCATAGGAAAACTAATGATGAGCTACAGCTGTGCAGATGACCTTTACTCAAACCCAAAGGAACTCGAAAGTTTCATGGGGTACAAATTGTGTCCGTCGGTCTAAGTAGCAGCAAAATGATAATGCCAAATCAAAAGGCAATTTCAATTCCCTTCAAATGCTAATCAGAAACATAAGTACTATGAAAACTGATAGCCAAAAGCAAAGGGGAAACTCACATCCCAGATACCCATGTCCAAACTCATGATCAAACAGCACATGCACTAAAACTTTTAACCATGGCTAAAATGAAGATGAACCATGTCTATACCAACCACTGCTGCTAATCCCAAGAACGCAGGACTGAAGTATTGTTTACATCCACATCCAAGCAGTTCCTCAGTATCTTAAGATGTTAGATGGAAAAATGATCAGTGGTGACATCCTCACTCACTGAGGCCACTACCCTCCATAAAAAAGATATACAGCATACCCTCCCTTCCCTATCATCTCGCCTGTCATCCTTTCCTTTCCTTTCACACACTTATATTCTTTTATAAAAGCAAAGGTTTCTTATTTAACCATCTCTCTTTTCCTACAAAAATATAAGCACCCAGAAGTTCAAGAACTTCTTTTATACTTCCACATCCAGAGCCTAGAGTGCCTGGAAATTTTTGCTAAACTGTATATGTTTTCAGTCTACACTGCCTGGCATATGAGGAATGTTGAAAAATTAGCATCAAGAGATTAGTCTCTGAGCAAGAAGGTTTCACTGGACCAGGTATCCTGACTTTTTCCTTTGCTTGGTTTGTGTTCTCTAAAAAAGAGAGAAAAGTTGTAAGCCTCACTTGACTCATAAAGGAGATAACAAAAGAAAATCTAATTTGCTAAGGAGTTTGTCATTACAAATATATATTGTAAGTGTGTACTTCTTTTAAAATCATCCAGCACACTGCAGGAAATATTTCAGTATTTAGACAAGAAAGGCAAAACCTGTTTCAGATGACTGGGAGCTGGCCTCACACTCCCCACAAGGCCTAGATATATCCTGTTGAAGAGAAAAATGTGACACCATCCATCATCAGACAAAGCTACTCTGTGACCATGATGGATCAAAATGAAAACAAAGACAAAATGAAAACCGTATCTCTATAAATAATAAAAGAGAACAGATTCTAAAGTTTTTGTTTTGTTTTTTGTTTTTTCTGGCCACACCAGAAAAACAGGATCTTAGTTGCAGCTTGCAGGATCTTAGTTCCCCAACCAGGGACTGAACCGGGGCCCTCGGCAGTGAAAGTGCGGAGTCATAACCACTGGACTGCCAGGGAATTCCCTAAAGATTTTAAATGACCCAAATTCCCCTCTTCTCACTAATGATTGGTACTTCTTAAAAATTAACTTCAGGGCTTCCCTGGTGGCACAGTGGTTGAGAGTCTGCCTGCCGGTGCAGGGGACATGGGTTCGTGCCCTGTTCCGGGAAGATCCCACATGCCGCGGAGCGGCTGGGCCCGTGAGCCACGGCCACTGAGCCTGCGCGTCCGGAGCCTGTGCTCTGCAATGGGAGAGGCCACAACAGTGAGAGGCCCGCGTACCGCAAAAAAGAAAAAAAAAAATTAACTTCAACATCATGCCATTCTTTCTGCCTTGTTAGATAATAACTATTATGATTACCCATGACAGAATTTGGCTCACTTCCTCACAGCATCCAATGTAGAATAATGTCTTGCTTCCTTGAATAGCAATCAAATCATCTAACACAAGTCAAAATCCAATAGGAAGTCCTCAAGTGCACCGTTACTGTTACACCCCACATTTTGTGGTCATTCCTAGTATGAGAACTCATTACACCCCTCCTTCTCCTTGACAACAGACGTGATCATGGTGGTCTTGGCAAAACGGGACAGAAAACACCATGATTTAAGTGCTTGGTGTTATGAATGAATAAGAAACTAGTCTCACGACAGAAATTATAAGTATAAAAGAATAAAAAATAAAAAGTGCCTGAGGTAAAAATACCTGCCCTTGTATGCACAATAATATTGACTCAATGTATAATGATTAGGTGGAGAAAATTACAAGTTGATCTGAAATTCTATAATTACAATGGGATATTTAATATACCCTCTCAGGAAATGAAAAACACAGTTATTTCCTAGCAGATGAGTGCTTGTTAAACAGCTAATAAAATATTTCTAAGAAAAAGCTACAAAAGCACTCATTACAGAAATTAATGCACATGCTTTGAATCATATACAATCAAAGAGAACTGAAAACATATTCAGGGATTACACTCAGATGTGAGTAAAAGGAAACACTGAGAATCTGCCCGATATGAGGAAGGTGCTGATTCTACACGGAAGGACTGGGTCTGAGCAGTCACTGCACAGTGAAGAACAGGAACAAACTCACAGGTAGTTCTTTTGGACTGCAACACAAAGGGGAATCAGGAGCACAAAGTCAACAGCAGTATTAACAGACCAAGGTGTTATTACAAATTAGAGCTTATATGAATACAGTCTAGAGAACAGTGTTCAGAGGATATTCTCAACCACGACAGTCTAAATTTCTTGCCAGGTGGACACAGTGGGCTTGCAGGAAAATCCAAACTGTGCTGAATCTTCTAGGTTGAACTTTGGAAAACACTGTGGAAGCCTACAGCTCTGATCAAATGGAAGTCAAACAGTCTGGTGGTTTTGAGGATATTCTCTTTTTTTCCAGTTTTATTGAGAAATAATTGACATACAGCAGTGTATAAATTTAAAGAGTACAGTATGATTTAACTTATATACATCATGAAAGGATTATCACAATAAGGTTAGTGAACATCCTTCACTTCATATAGATACAAACTTTTAAAGAAATAGAAAGAATTATTTTCCTTTTGATGAGAACTCTTAGGATTTACTCTAACGACTTTCTCATGTTGTACATTACATCCCTAGTACTAATTATTTTATAACAGAAAGTATGTACCTTTTGACTGCCTTCCTTCAATTTCCCCTTCCCCCCACACCTTGCCTCTGGTAATCAGAAATCTGATCTCTTTATGAGTTTGTTTTTGAAATATAAATGACCTACAACACTGTTAGTTCCTGTTATACAACATGGTGTTTCGATATTCCTATACATTTCAATATGATCACTAATATAAGTTTAGTTACAATCTCTCACCATACAAAGATATAATTATTGACTATATTTCCCACACCTTAAACTTCATACCTGTGACTCATTTTGCAACTCTAAGTTTGCACCTCTTAGTCTCCCTCACCTATTTCTTTCCTCCCCTACCTCTTCTTCCTCTGCCAACTACGTGTTTGACACAGTATCTGTAACTCTGTTTCTGTTTTGCTATGTTTGTTCGTTTGTTTTTTAGATTCCAAAAGTAAGTGAAATTATACAGTATTTGTCTTTCTCTGTCAGACTTATTTCACTTAGGATAATACCTTCTAGGCCCATGCACAATGTTGCAAATGGCAAAATTTCATTCTTTTTTATGGTTAATATTCCATGATATATTATAATATAAATATATACAATAATATATATATATATGGATTAGATTGGTCCTTTTGGGACTGTAATTCCTGAACCTGGATGTCTGTTCCCTTACCAGGTTATGGAAGTTCTTGGCTATTATGTCTTCAAATATGTCTTCTGCCCATTTTCTCTCCTTTCTTTCTGGGACTCCTATAATGAGAATGTTAGTATGCTTCTTGTTGTCTCAGAAGTCTCAAACTGTCATTTAAAAAAAATTCTTTTTCCTTATTTTCTGTTCAGATTGAGTGATTTCCACTACTCTGTCTTCCAGTTGCTGATTCATTCCTCTGTATCATCTAATCTACTACTGATTCTTTCTAGTGTATTTAAAAGTATCGCTTATTGTATTCTTCAACTGTTTGGTTCTTTGTATTTTTTAAATTTTTGTTAAAAATGACTAATTTCTCACTCTGTTCACCCATTCTTCTCCCAAGTTCTTTGAGCATCTTTATGATCATTACCTTGAACAAGCAGATTGCTTATTTCTGCTTCCTTAGTTCTACTTCTGGGGTTTTATCTTGTTCCTTGTTTGGAACATATTCCTGTCACCTCACTTTGCCTAATTTGCTTTTTAAATTTCTATGTATTTGGCACATTGCTTGTTTCCAGACGTTGGAGAAGTGGCCTTTTGTAGGAGACGTCCTATGTGTGCCAGCAGTGCTCTCTCCTCTGGACACCAGAGGTATATGCTCTAGGTGTGCCCCCTATGTGGGTCCTTCTCGTGCAGCGGGCTGACTAGGTGTGGCTGCCCCTTGGTCCAGTTGGTTGCCAGGTCCTGCCTTGTGGGGAGGTTGCTGACTGTTGGTAGGTAGGGTCAGGACATGAGGTGGCTGGCTATAGAGCCCCAGGGGGTCCGAGGGCCAGTGCTGGCCCACTGGTGGGTGGAGCTAGTTTCCAGGGTGGGAGGTCATGGGCCTGGGACCCCCAAATCTGTCAGCCTGGTGGTGACTGGGGCCAAATCCCAGGGTGGCTGGCTGAAGGGTCCAAGGTGTCTTAGAGTTGGTAGGTGGGGCTGAGGCCCAGGGGGTCCTGGGGTTAATGCCAGCTCACTGGTGGGTGGAGCCAGATCCTGAGGTCTTTGGCTGCAGTAAGCTGGGGGTCTCAGAGTTGGTGTCAGCCCACTGGTGAGCAGGGCTTATTTCTGTCACAGACGGCTACAAGGTCTGGGGTGTCCCAAAGCTGGTACTGGCCCACTGGTGGATGGGGCTGGATCCTGGTGTAGGCCCACTGGTATATTGGGTTGGGCCCCAACAGCTGGCTGTGGGGCCTCAGGGGTCCCAGAACCAGTGCCAGGGCAACTGGGGGCTCAATGTGTCTTAAGGCAGCTGGCCATATGGTGGGTGGGGCTGCATCCCCACCTGGCTAGCTGCTTGGCCTGAGGTATCCCAATACTGGTGCCAACAGGCTGGTGGGTAGTGCAGGTCTCTTGTGCTGATAAGCTAGAAGGACAATTCCAAAACCACACTTGTCAGCACCAGTAACCTTGTGGACAGCCCCAAAAGGGCTGTCACAGTGTCTATGTCCCGAGAGTAAACACCAGTCGCCTCCTGCTTTTCCAGCAGTCTCTCCAAGATCAGCAGGTGGGTCAAACCTAGGCTCCTTTCAAATTACTGCTTTTGCCCTGGATTTTGGAGCACATGAGATGTTATGTGCATCCCTGAAGAGTGGAGTCTCTATTTCCTACAGCCCTCTGAGTATCCTGAAAGTAAGCCCTGCTGGTCTTCAAAGCCAAATGTTCTGGGGGCTTGTCTTTCCAGTGCAGGGCCCTTAGGCTGGGGAGCAAGATGTGGGGTTTGGACCCCCTTGCTCCTTGGGACAACTTCTGCAATTGTAATTATCCTCCTGTTTGTGGGTAATGGGTCTTGACTAACATTTCTCCACACTTCCTACTGGTCTCGTTGTGGGTCCTTCTTCCTATCTTTACATGTAGAAGATCTTTTCTGCTAGTGTTCAGGTCTTTCTCATCAATAGTTGCTTGGTAAACAGTTGTAATTTTGATGTGCCCATGGGAGGAGGTGAGCTCAGGGTCTTCCTACTCCACCATCTTGGACTCTCTTCAGTTTTGAGAATATTCCTGACTGGCAGAGCAAAAAATGAGGAAAATGAGCTGGAAGCAAGTGTCTGCAAAGGCCCTATGCTTCTTGTGTGTCTCTTTCCATACAAGTGGCTCCAAAATCTACCTAATCCTATTTCACATCTGCATTTCAAGTTACCTGTAAATTAGGCTTTGGTGAATTCTAACATGGGGCCATAAAAGCAACAGAGTCTAGAAAATGTAATTCACAACATTACTCACATTGACGTAACAGAGTCAAAAAGGGTCCTCTCCAACTCTAAATTTTATTGTCCTCTCACAGGTCTCTCTCTTTTTTTTTTTCAGTACGTGGGCCTCTCACTGCCGTGGCCTCTCCCGTCGCGGAGCACAGACCCCGAACATGCAGGCCCAGTGGCCATTGCTCATGGGCCCAGCCGCTCCATGGCATGTGGGACCCTCCTGGACCGGGGCACGAATCTGTGTCCCCTGCATCGGCAGGTGGACCCTCAACCACTGCGCCACCAGGGAAGCCCTCACAGGTCTCTCTTAATGCAAATTCCATAGCCCAAATCTCAGCCAGAAGGAATGACAAATAACAAAGGACAAAAGATGAAAACAATAATTCACATGAGAGTATATGATGAACTTTGCATACTTACAAATATATGCCAACTCATTGTTAGCAAAGAAATGGAATAAAGCTCTTCAGGCCAATGAAAAGTTAGTTTTCTCTTAAGAAGTAAAGGTGGAATATGTATATAATGTATAAGGGATGTTGAGTACTTGCTGCAGGAGGCCAGTACAATAAACAAACAAGTACCAAAGTGTCATTTTTCAGTGTTCTCTTATTTGCAGAAGAGTATTATATAAAAATTAACCCCACTTACATATTAGAAATGCACTTCAATTCACCCATGGATCAAAGAGTCTTCAAAATAAAAACAAAAATTTTACTGAGTAAAGGATAAAATTACCTATTAAACTTAGGAACAATTGCCTAAAGAGTACCTACAGAATTATCTTACCTCAATATTTACTTGCAAAAGTAAGTACTACTCCATACTACAGATAATAACTTTAAGAATGTGCCACTGATAAAGACAATATATGTTTAAAGTTTATAACACTTCTTCCATACTGTAACTTTGAGTATTCTACATGAATTAATTTGTACCAGGCTTACCCATATTACTTACATTAACATGAGTTTTTTCCAGTGCAGTTTTCACATGACTACAAAAATATTTGTTTCAACTGAATAGTTTGCTTTACTTTTCAGTTACTTGGTATCTATCCAGTGTACATTCTCACATGGTTTTGTAAGGATGTAGGGCAAATGAAGGTTTTCATATATTGTTTATATTTAACAGAATTCTCTCTAGAGTGAGTTCTTTCCCAAGAAAATGGGACTGAAAACCTCCCCAATTCCTCATGCTTACATGGTGTGCACCATCTTGTGTCCTTAAAATGTTGTGTGATAAAGGCTTTCCAATATTCCTTACGTTCAGTTTCTGGTAAGAGTTCTTTCACATATTTGAACATAATAGGAATTGCTGAGGGCTTTACCATACAGTTTGCATTCACAGGGTTTCTCTCCAGTGTGAATTCTTTTTTTGTATTCAGAATGAACTGGGACAACTGAAGGATCTCCTACATTCCTGACATTCATAGGCCTACTTTCCATTATGAGTGTTTTCATGGTTTTGAACAGAACTGGGACAATCGAAGGCTTTCCTATAATTTTCACATTCGTGTGGTTTCTCTCCAGTGTGAGTTCTTTCATGATTTCATAATGAACTGAAAAAAATCGAAGGCCTTCCCACATTCCTTACACTATTAGGTCCATCTCCAGTGTCCTTCACCACATGTCTTGAAAATTTAGTGACAGAACTGAAGGCTTTCCCAAGCGCTACTCTCCAATATGAGTTCTTTCATGGTTTCGTAAAGAACGGAGATGACTGAAGGCTTTACTACAATTCTTACATTCATACGGTTTCTCTCCAGTGTGAGTTCTTTCATGGTTTCGTAATGAACTGGGACAATCGAAGGCTTTCCCACATTTCTTACATGTGTAAGGTCCAACTCCAGTGTGTTTTATCATGTGTAAACGAAATTTTGAGAGAAAAATGAATGCTTTCCCACATTCCTTACATCCATAGGGTTTCTCTCCACTATGAGTTCTTTCATTACTTCGAAGGGAACTGAGATAGCTGACGGCTTTACCACATTGTTTACATTGATAGGGTTTCTCCCCAGTATGACTTCTTTCATGTTTTTGAAGGAAACTGGGATAACTGAAGGCTTTACCACATTCCTTACATGCATGAGGTTTCTCTCCAGTATGAGTTCTTTCATGTCTTCGAAGGGACCTAGGAGTACTGAAGGCTTTACAACATTCCTTACATTCACAGGGCTTTTCTACACTGTGAATCCTTTCATGACTTCGAAAGTAATTGGGACAATCAACGACTTTCCCACACTCCTTATATTTATAAGGTCCATCTCCAGTGTGCTTCATCACGTGTCTTTGAAATTTGATGAGAGAACTGAAGGCTTTCTCACATTCTTTACATTCATAAGGTTTCTCTCCATCATGATTTCTTTCATGTTTTCGACAGGAATATGGACAACTGAAGGCTTTACCACATTTTTTACATTCATAAGGCTTTTCTCCACTGTGTTTCCTTTCATGGCTTTGAAAGGATCTGGGACAACTGAAGGCTTTACCACATTGCCTACACTCATAGGGTTTCTCTCCACTATGACTTTTTTCATGTCTGCGAATGGAAGTGGGCCAATTGAAAGTTTTCCCACATTGTTTACATTTATAAGGCTTCTCGCCTGTGTGAGTCCTTACATGTATTTGAAATGAACTGGGAGTAATGAATGCTTTCTTACATTCCTTACATTTATAAGGTCCATCTCCAGAGTGACTTATCATGTGTGCCCGAAGGCTTGAGAGAAAAATAAAACCTTTTCCACAATCCTTACATTCATAGGGTTTCTCTCCAGTATGATTTCTTTCATGTTTTCGAAGAGAACTGGAATAACTGAATGCTTTACTACATCTTTTACATTCATAGAATTTCTTTCCATTGTGATTTCTTTCATGGTTTTGTAATCCTACACGGGAAATAAAAGCTTTATCACATTGCTTACATTCATAGGGTTTCTCTCCTGTGTGAATCCTTTCATGTGTTTGAAAAGTTCGACGATATCTAAAGGCTTTTCCACATTGTTTACATTGATAGGGTTTCTCTCCCATGTGGGTTTTTTCATGTATTTGTAGTGCACTTAGAAAAGTAAAGACTTTCCCACATTCCTTACATTTATAAGGAGCATCTCCAGTGTGTGTTATCATGTGTCTCCGAAAGGTTGTGAGCCACTTAAAGGGTTTCCCACATTCCTTACATTTATAAGGAGTATCTCCAGTGTGCGTTATCATGTGTCTTTGAAAGGTTGTAAGCCACATAAAGGACTTCCCACATTCTTTACATTCATAGGGCTTTTCTCCTGTATGAATCCTTTTATGTGTTTGAAAGGATGTGCGAAAACGAAAAGCTTTCCCACATTCCTTACATTTATAGTTCTCCTGTCCACTGTGTTTTCTTTCATGTTTTTCAAAACACTGAAGATAACTGAAGGCTTTACCACATTCCTTACATTTATATGGCTTCTCTTCATATTTCTGATACTCATACAGTTTGTGCCCACTATGACGGTTGATATGCCTATTAAGGGATGAATGATGCATAAAGACTTTTCCACATGCACTGCATTCATGTAGTTTCACTCCAGTAGTTTTCTTCTTCAGACTGAGTTTTGGAATAAGGCTGAAGTTTCCTGCACATTGACTACCCTCTTTACTTTCACAGAGTCTCTCTACAACATGACTTCTGTAAAAAATGAGAATTGCGTTAGTAATGATTTCTTTACCAACAATTTAATATTTATTAGTAGGATATTTGAACTACATTTTTATGATCTATAGCAAAAGTGTAGGTTATCTCCCTTCCCTGAATTGTTTTTGATTGAATATAAGAAATGCCCTGCAAGAAGACTTCACTCTTGGAATTATCAAAACACTGATATTCACATATAGGGCTTGTTAATACTGTTTCCAAGAGAACTATTTTCCAAACACTTAGTATCTATGTCACATATTAGAAAGTATTTGGGGGAAAGTTTTTCTGAGAATAAATATATGTCAAGCAGGCATTATGTGTTTAGGTCCCTTCTTTTAAAATTTCATCACATACCAGGACCCTCATATAAGGCACTACTTTCTGTTGTGAGTGTGACTTACCTTAGTTTTCTCCCCTGGTTTTTGTACTGATCTTCAATGTCACGATCCTCCCATTTTTTCCCTAAATTGCAGATGCAGAAAAACGAATCCAAAATATTAGAAATTATGAAATAATTATTAGATTCTATATTCATTGTTGGCTGTGACCAGGCCTAGTTTATATACCAACATCCTTCCTTCCACATAGGACATCTTGGAAGACCATCAATGAGCAAGAAACATTTGTTCCCTAATTGACAAAGTAAAGGAAAGCTGTCACCCTTACCTACTGAGGCCAGGTTTCTGAAGGTTTCCCGCATCACATCTCTGTAGAGTTTCTTCTGTGAAGGATTCAGTAAAGCCCACTCCTCCAGGGTGAAATTCACAGCCACATCTTCAATGGCTACCGAGTCCTAAAATACCCCAAATATGTGTATAGCAGGATGAATGACACTGACAGGACTAGACATCTATACACCATCTTTGTTTTGTTTTGTGTTTATTTTTGGCTGCTTTGGGTCTTCCTCTAGTTGCAGCAAGCAGGGACTACTCTTCATTGCAGCGTGCAGGCTTCCCATTGTGGTGGCTTCTCTTGTTGCAGAGCACAGGCTCTAGGCGTGCGGGCTTCAGTAGTCGTGGCACACGGGCTCTAGAGCGCAGGCTCAGTAGTTGTGGCACACGGGCTTAGTTGCTCCGTGGCATGTGGGATCTTCCTGGGCCAGGGATCGAACCCATGTCCCCTGAATTGGCAGGCAGTTTCTTAACTGCTGTGCCACAGGGAAGCCATATACACTATTTATATGAAGGTTATGTATGATTCTGTCATATCCAAACATTTATTCTATGACTTGATCATCAGGAACTTACTCTGTCTCTACTTCCTCACAAATTTAGCGGCATAATGAACATGGAAATATTTACTCTGATCACATTACATCTCATTTCTCACTAACAGCAGGGTTCAGAACATGTTGGGAAGTGACAGACATGATATACAAATGAAACGAATGTTACCATTTTAAGACCATCAATACCTTTTGAGGAAAAACTCTTTCATCTCCTTCCTTTTTACATACCATTTTTAGCACTTATGAGGCAGAGGGTCAAATCTGCACAAACTTTTATGAATAAGAACATAGTGCTGAACTGGAAGCTTTTTCTTCTATTCCCATCACCAAACAAGAGTCCAAGAAAACTGTAAAATATTTAATAGGATCCAGCTGGCCAATTTGGCCATAAAGTAATCCAGGCCTTTATAAGTAGTCAGATGTAGGTGACAAAAAAAAAATATTCTTGTGGGGAAATAGTGCTGTTAACTTGTGTAATATTTACCACAGATTCAGTTTTTCCTTTCTCTTTGTTTGATCTGATGCACTAGAAAGTTAACTGGCACTTATAGTTAATTGGCGCAGACAGTAGGAAGATAGCATGAAAACACAGACCACAAAATTCCTATAGTCATGTACCTCAGGGCTGCTTAAGAGGCATACGTAGCCACACAGAGTGAGACAATATGCCAGAAGATCTCTTTATGGCAGATCTAGAACACAGTGCCCTGTGCCTTTCTAACCTTGAGGAACAGATTAAGGGTTGTAGATTGCAAGTGCATTCACTGAAAATCACAAGGGTTTGATGGTGAATCTGCCCAAAAGTATGAAATACACAAAGGATTCAACAGTGCTTTCCTCCTAAAGAAAATAAAATCTCCATTTTCAAATTGCAGGAGAAAGTTATTTCCTGACCAGCCACTCTAGAGGCTGCCCTGCCAACTTCTCTAATTTCCAAGCTCCAACAAGGTTTACAGGAACATTATAGTTTGACCCCTGGGGATAGGAATCCCTTTGCTGATGACAGCACACATTGCCAATAGTGTATGAAAGGTTTTATTACCTAAATAATTGAGGTATCTGAGGAAAGTAAGGCAGGCCTCTCCAGAGCTTTCAGGAAATGGCTTCACAAGCAAGGAAAGGTAATTGGACTTTTAAAAACTGAAGTTAGGGGCTGGGTTAGGATGAGGGTTCACACACAAGAGCAGGATCTTAGGAGGATTGAATTTCTTGCCACTGCCAATGGAAGAAGGACTAAGGTTTTCTGATCACTTTGTATAGATGTGGGTAAAAGTGTAAAGAGAATGAATGAGGTTTTAAAGCAGTCAGCAATCATCAAAAATTGAAGACAGAGACTTACAGGTTCTAATCTGGCATTTAAGGAGCTTAGAAGTCATCATTCCTGGCCTCAAAGGAAAAAAATGAAAAAAACTTGAACAAGTCTTCTTAGACCCATCAGAGCATTGAGGTCACAGGCAAAACACTCTCTCTAAAACTGGGAAAGAAGAAATAAAGATGGCATGTAAAAATAAGCACCAGGGACTTCCCTGGTGGTCCAGTGGTTAACACTTCGCCTTCCAATGTAGGGGGCGCAGGTTTGATCCCTGGTTGGGGAGCTAAGATTCCATATGCCTCGTGGCCAAAAAACCAAAACATAAAAATAGAAATAATATCATAACAAAATCCAATAAAGACTTTTAAAAATGTCCACATCAAAAAAAAGTAATAATAATAAAAAATACCAAATACTCTGTTCTTAACAAGGCCTGTACTGAAAACAATATATTTCACCAGAGGCTAACACAAAGTCAAAAATACAAAAACAAAACAAACAAGACAGAACACATTATCCATGAACTGTACAGCAATGACAGGTTTAAAATACACAAAATGGGAATATCTGAAAAAAGAAAGGATACACAGAAAGGAACAGAAAAAATGAAGTAATAATCATTGAGATTTTCCTAAAATTAATCATAAATGGCATGCTGTAGATCCAAAAAGCTTAAAGAACACTAAACGTCAAAAATGCATACCAAGGGCTTCCCTAGTGGTGCAGTGGTTGAGAGTCCGCCTGCCTATGCAGTGGACACGGGTTCGTGCCCCGGTCCAGGAAGATCCCACATGCCGCAGAGCAGCTAGGCCTGTAAGCCATGGCCTCTGAGACTGCACGTCCGGAGCCTGTGCGTCCAGAGCCTGTGCTCCGCAAGGGGAGAGGCCACAACAGTGAGAGGCCTGCGTACTGCAAAAAAAAAAAAAAAAAAATGCATACCAAGTATATCATATTCTAACTAGAGAAAAATCAAAGAGAAAGAGAATATAGTGAAAAAAAGCCAGAGGGGAAACCCACCTTACTTATAGAGAAAAACGATTAGAATTAAATCAGACTTCTTTTCAGAAACCATGCAAGCCTGAAGAGAGTAGAGTGAAATATTTAAATTTTTGAAAGAAAAAACTACTCTTCTACTTTTCAAAACTAAAACCTGGTCCGCAGAAAATATTAATTATAATAAAATTGATTGACATCTAGTCAAGATAACAGAGAAGAGAAGGCAAAACAGAAATAATATCAGAAATGAAAGGAGGGGGGAAATGAACATAAAAAGATTTGATACAATTCAACATCCATTTATGGTAACAAACTAATAATAGAAGGGAACTCTCTGTCCTTGAGAAAAATATCTACAGGACACCTGCAGCTAACATCATATTAGATACAACACCCAAAACAAACAAACAAACCATGAAAGGAAAAAATGATGTCTCACTTTATTAAAAGGAAAATTCCTGTGCTGGGAAAGTGTTAAGACAATGAAAAGACAAGTCACAGACTAGGAGAATGTCTTTGTAACACACATATCTGATAAACGACTGGTATCCAGAATATACATAGAATTCTTGGGGACTTCCCTGGTGGTGCAGTGGATAAGGCTATGTGCTCCCAATGCAGGGGGGCCCGAGTTCGATCCCTGGCAGGGCACTAGATCCCAAATGCATGCCACAATTAAGAGTTTGCATGCCACAACTAAGGAGCCCATGTACTGCAACTAAGGAGCCCTGGAGCCACAACTAAGAAGTCCTGGAGCCACAACTAAGAAACCCATGTGCTGCAACTAAGGAGCCTGCAAGCTGCAACTCAGACCCAGTGCAACCAAATAAATAAATAATTTTTTAAAAACCCCAAAACAAAATATATATATATAATTCTTAAAACTCAACAGTAAGAAGACAAACAACTCAATTAAAAATGGGAAAAAGATCTGAACAGACACCACACCAAACAAGATATACAGATGGGAAATAAGCAACATGAAAACATGCTCAACAAATGTCTTTGGGAAATTACAAAAAAAACCAACAATGATATGTCACTACACACTTATTAAATGGCTAAATTCAGAACACCAGATATTAGTGAAGATGTTGAAGCTGCTGGTAATCCTCATTCCTTGGTGGTGGGAATGAAATTTGGTATGCCTACATTGGAAGATAAGAATTTTCCATCAATACTTAATATACTCTTATACATATAGTAAGATCCAGCAATCACATTCCTTGGTAGAGACCTAAATTAGTGGAAACCTTAAGTACACACAAAAGCCTACACATGAATGTTTCTAGGTGTTTTATTCATAATGGGCAAGAGTTAGAGTTAAGCATGATGTCCTTCAAGAGTCGAATGGATAAAAAATCAGTGTCATTCCCACTGTAATAAGACGAAATATTGTTCAGTGAAAAAATGAAATAAGGTATCAAACCATGAAAACACATGAAGGAATCTTAAAAGTACATTGCTAAGTGAAAGAAGCCAATCTGACAAGGTAACACAAGATTCCAAGTATTTGACATTCCGGAAAAGACATTATTATGAGCCAGAAAAAGATCTTTGGTTCTGAAGGATTTGGGGGTTGAAGGGAGAGATGAATGAATAGATGAAGCATAAGGGACTTTGAGGGAACTGATACTACTCTACAGGATAGAGAAATGATGGATACGTTTCAATAAACATTTACCAAAACCCATAGATCCTATAACACAAAGAGTCATTGATAATAAAAACTGTGGACTTTAATGCATCACTATTGGTTCAGTAATTGTTATAAATGTACTGTGGTAATACAAGATGTATAAAACAGTGCAAACTGTGTGGATGCAGAGGGGTTATGTGGGAACTACTACGGAAAAGAATTACAGGACCACAATATTCAAGAGATAAAGGAATCCAAAGGAAAGAAAAGCAAATATTTGAATCAGCTGAGATAAGCACACTGCTTCCCTACTGTTCAAAACGAAAATCCACATTCAGAAAGTTACATTCTTAAAATTGTGGTCCAGACACTCCCAACAGAGATAGAACCCCTAGAAGTGAGTCAGTCCCTGGTGAAGAAGGGTAGGGACCCAAAATAAACTCTGGAAGCTGCACATACTCTTCTCTTGCCTGGCCACGTGTGAGCCCTTCCTTTCCCAGTCTTCCATTCTCACAAGTGAGGAATTTCTCAGCAGGTTCCGACCCAAATGAACTCCCAAATTCATAAACCCTTTGTCAAGGAGACAGAACACCAACCTCCATAGACTTTCCTATGCACAAATTACACTGAATGCGCCAACATTATGGATGCAACACTTAGGCATACATCTGCACCTGAAGAAACCACTATTACAACTGCAGAAAGAAATCACCGAGTCTCCTCCACTTACCCAGGTGCACTTGAACCCATCTTTCCAGGGCTCTGCACCTTCTCTCAGCATAAAGGCTCCTTCTGTAGTGGGTGTGAGCAGGTGAGAAAACCTACAAGGAGAGGTTCCCCAGGAAGAACCAATTGGCCTTCACTTCTACCTCTCCGTGCACGCTCAGAGAGGGCCTTGGTTTGGCTCACCCACCACAGGCCATACTCAACACTGGAGTTACTTGGCACCACTATTACATTTTAATGACACAAACACACTGACCAATCCAGCAAATTCACTCAGACTCAGTGTTTATGTGGAAAGGAGGAAAGAAAGCTGGAACGTACTTTACTAGTTCAACCAGAAAATCCCAAATATATATTCCTTTCAGCAAAGAAGATGTCAGTTAATTATTATTTCATGGCAAGACTTGTTTTGTAATTAATTAATCATACTTGAACACTTCTGGTCTGCAAGTCTAAACCCTGGAATTTCATTTGAAATCATCCAAAAGTAATGAACAGCCCTCTGAAACAACTACAGTCAGGGTAAGAGGGAGTGAAACCAGTATCTTAAGTGAAATGCAATAGTGGAACCTTTCTTTTCACCCCTGAAATTCACCTTTTTTTTGCCTCTTTGGAAATGTTTTATGCTATCTTTCGAGCCTATTGATTAAATAAAAATGTATTTACCCCTACTGAAAACGAACACTTAAATAAAGCAATAAATCTTTTCAGGTCAACAAAAGCAGGGAGGGGCAAGGCTGACAGAACAGATCACCCAGGAAAGTTTCAAGAAGGAACCTCCAACCAAAGGATTTTCCGTAGGATGTCCGGGCCCAGGAAAGATCCTGGGACGAGAGGCACAAGGATTTCATACAACATAGTTCCAGGCGGTCATTCTCGGCTTTCCTTTCATGTAAAATACACACAAAAAAATAAAGCTTTCAAAATCAGCCCATCCGTGGCTCTACTTAAGAAGGATAAACAATTAAAATATTGAGGCCATTTGAAATGTACCAAGGCGGACAAACAGTAGAATATGTTGTGAATCAGAGAGAGGAAACTGGCGTTTGGGAATGTGAAAGGGATTTGTAAATTTGGGGATTTATCGCCAACCCTAGGAAGAGCTACGCTGGTAAAACAGGGTTGTGGATTTGAGACCCCGCTCCCCCCAAATTTGAAAAACTCAAGAGAAAACGTGTCGCGCTGGGAAGAAAGGAGGGAATGGGGACCTCACACACCACAGCTCCTCCCACGCATATAGCCCAGACCCCGAGTCTAAAGACCCTCCCGCGGTCACCGCACAACCTGGGGGAGACGCGGGACTGCGGGCGCAGAGCTGCGCAGAGAGGCTCCGGGGTCAGGGCCGACGTCGCCGCGCACCAAGGGACGTGACAGGACGCCCGGGGTCCCGGCTGCCGGCCCCGCCCCGCCCCCACGCTGCGAGCTGGAGCGGACTGAGGTCCGAGCGGCGCCCCGGGTGGACTCGGGCCAGCGGACTCCGAAGTTGACCGCGGGGAGGCCCGGGTCCCGCCACGGCCGCTTCCGGCCGGTTCCCACCAGCCCCTCCTTTCCGTCTCCACATCCAGGGAAGCACACTCACCATTTCTAGGTTTCCTGGGTCTCCCCGAATCCTTCCTAAGACTCCCACGACCCGTATAGATCACAGCACAACACAGCCTGCGGCAGAGGAAGAAGACCACTAGGGGAAGATAAGCATCCGGAGCAAAGCCAGAGCGGTTAGCTACAGCCCTTCCGTTGAGGGGCGTCACCCCACCCACAGGCCCCAGCGACCTCCCTGATTGGGCAGTTCCCAAGGCCTCGCCCCCTCGTGCCTGAATGACAGCGGGGCGGGAGGACGCTTGGCTCTGGCGAACAGGCTTCAGCCGTTGGTGGGTGACCTGTACCCGCGGGATTATTTGAATTTAAACAGAGTTTATTCCTGTCCTAAGGCTGACTCTGTAGTCTTCCCGCAGCTTGGTCGGAACGCGAGGTCACAGGTGTGCACAGGGAATTCCTCATTCAGTTTGAAGATGAAGCAAGTATAGACAAGAGGGCGCCCAGACCAGGACAAACTGCAACAAGAAGGCTTGGTGTAACTGGAACTGTGACCTTTGTTTAGAAACGTAGCCACTTCAGTGTGACATCACTATCTGTAATAATGAGTCAGGCTCCGTTTTTTTGGTTTTTTTTTTTTTTTGCGGTACGCGGGCCTCTCACTGTTATGGCCTATCCCGTTGCAGCGCACAGGCTCCGGACGCGCAGGCTCGGCCGTGGCTCACGGGCCCAGCCGCTCCGCGGCATGTGGGATACTCCCGGACCGGGACACGAAACCGTGTCCTCTGCACCGGCAGGTGGACTCTCAACCACTGCGCCACGAGCGAAGCCCTCAGGCTCCGTTTTAATCTTTGAAATTTGACAGCCTTGAGACTTCTACCCATCTCTTCCCCACCCCCACTCATTTGAGAAGAATCCCAGAGCGTTTGGCTCCAGTGGGGAGTTTGAACCCCACAGTCCTAGCTGGGGGAAGAGCCTCTTCTCTAAGCAGAGGGTGTGAGATGTGTCATTAAACTATCAGGTTTCATTAAATTCACATTTTACACTGGAAGGAAATTTATTTTAGATCAATGTTAGCTTGTGTCCCTAGAGAATTTTGAAATGTAAAAAGCTATAAGATCCCTAAAGCAACTGAATTCCTATTTTCACTAAAATAACAAAAAGAACAATAACAAACCGTAATGTAAATGTGAGATGCACCTGGAAAGTCTTTTTACCCCTCCAAGCTCTACTTCGAGGTATAACTGACTAATAAAATGGTCTAATTTGAGGATGACAATACGATGATTTGACATACCTATACTGTATTGTATAAATGAAATTTGCTAAGAGAGTGGATCTTAAGAGTTCTCAACACACACACACACACACACACACACATACACACACACACACATACACGATAACAATTTGAGGTGACGGATGTGTTAAATAACCTGGAAACTCTTAGATGCCTAAGAGCCTGAATTGCTTGCATTGCAAAACTCTTAACGCATTTATCCACTTATTTGAACGCTTTATTGAGATACAACACACATACTATACAATGGACCCTTTAATGTCTAAAACTCACTGGTTTTCAGTGAAACCGAATTCCCCTAAAACAAAGTTCCCTTACTGAGTTTATGATTAATCTCTTTATCCAAAACTTTATTCCCTTTCTCGTCCCCTCTGACCTAATCAACTAGAGTCAAATTGCTGTTGTAGATAACATCGTTAATGTACTAAAATTGTTATTACAGATATCATCATTAACGTACAAACAGAGGTTGTTTCTCCAGGGCAAGATAAGCTAACAGACCTGCAAGCCATGGACCACCTGGGCTGGGAATCATACAGGAGAGACATCCTGACTCCTGAAGCTATCATTAAGAAATGTCACAGAAGTGTCACAAGATGATGGTTAATCCCAGCCTCTTTATTCTTCCCCTTAAAAAAAACCTGAACTCAAAGACCAAGCTGGAGTGGATCTGAGACTTGCCTCCCACTCCCTTGCTTGGAACCCTTCAAATAAACCCTTACTTTGCTACAAACACCCACTGTCAGAGCTTTCTGTGCTGTGGGCACATGAGCCCTTGTTCATAGCATCAGTTTATTCACAGGTAGATTCAATAATCACCACTACAGCCAATTTCTGAACATTTTCCTCACCTTAAAAAGAAACTCCTCTGCTCTCTTCTATTCCCTAGTGGGAACAAATCAAACAGCTATCTATCCAGTGATTTATATACAGGAAGTGCCTCTGGGGAAAAAAGAATGCAGGTGACCAAGTGTAATCTCCTTGTAAATATACTGAAAACTGAGCTCTTGGTAAATAGACTAATAACCTTTGAGAGAGAAGAGTCCTCACCAAAAGAATACTTTTATTAGGACATTTCTGGTTTAGTATTTTTTATGGTAAATAAATCATAATCACAGATTTATAGAAGAGCATGACTACTTAGAAAATGCCACATAAACTACTCAACTGAGTGTAAAATGGAAATTTATAGTGACCTGAGTTAAATCAATCACATTTTCACTCTGGAAACTGGGCTCAAGGGACACACAAAAAAAGTTGACAACGAGATATAATTTCCCTGATCACTTGACTTAAAATTGCAACTCACTGCCAAACCCATTTCTGATTCACCCTAGTCTTCTCCAGTATTTTTCATAACGCTCACGATTTCCTTATGTAGTGTGTAATTTATTCTTCATTGTTTATTGTCTGTCTCTCTTCATTGGAATATAAGATGCATGAATAAAGGAATCTATTCTTGCTTCATTGATTTATACTAAACCCTTGAATAGTGACAAGTGTGCAACAAAGTGTTAACTGAATGCAGACTGGAGCTATTATGCATCATGTGCAAAATGAAGCTATGGGAATTCAGATTGGGGTTAAGAGATTGCATTTGTATGAATTATAGAAGTTAAGGAGAGAGAGGGCTTCCCTGGTGGCGCAGTTGTTAAGAATCCATCTGCCAATGCAGGGGACACGGGTTGGAGCCCTGGTCCGGGAAGATCCCACATGCTGCGGAGCAACTAAGCCTGTGCGCCACAACTACTGAGCCTACGCTCTAGAGCCCGCGAGCTACAACTACTGAAGCCCGCGCGCCTACAACCTGTGCTTCCCAACAAGAGAAGCCACCGCAATGAGAAGCCTGCGCACTGCAACGAAGAGTAGCCCCCACTCACCACAACTAGAGAAAGTCCGTGCACAGCAATGAAGACCCAACACAGCCAAAAATAAATAAATTAAATAAATAAATTAAAAAAAAAACCTCTGTGAAGAAGGAGAGAGGCAGGAGGAAGACAAGAAAAGAGATAAGACAATATGAAAGAAAAGGAAAAAGGAATTGATGGGAATGAGGAAAAGGAGAGGAAAAAGTAGAGTATAGGATTAACTCATCTCTAGAGATCTTTTAGTTCTTGTCCTTATAATCATTGGTTGTTTATCTTCTTGGATCTCTAAGGAATTCTCTAAGAGACCCCTATACGTAACTACACTAAACCACCTATTTCCCAAACATTTAAAAAGTGGATTTCCAGTTCCTGACACACAAAAAACTCTCATGAGAAAGAATGAATTCCCTGAAATCTACTACAAAATATTTTAATCTAATTCAATAGTAACATGAACAATAATCACAGTAAAATCATTTTGATGACAAACAAAAGTATTCTCATTTTTTAAAAAAATGAATGAAACCTTTTCTTTAAAATGAATGAATCTTTCTTTAAAGGTTGCATTCCAATTTTTATAAATCTGATACTTTTGGAGATATGTGTATTTTTAAAATTTCCAATAAAATTATGAAAATATAATTGAGAACACTAGTTCCTTGGTAACACATTACTTCTAGTCCACAACAGCTATAATTAGAGTTCACTGTTCTCCTTTTGACCTTGCAGAAACAATAAATGTTAATGAGGCACTCATTTTTTGTGTGGAGTTGTTCAGCAAAAAAAAACACAAAAAACCATTAAAAATTCACCTGCTAACATCTGTGGTGCCCACAGACTTTACACAGAGTTGAATGCCTTACTCTCAATGATGCACAAAATATTCCTATGTTGACAAAATATAATCTTGTAGCTCCAACACCTTGTTATTAAAAACAAGATAATAAAAAGATTAAAAAAAAAACTCCTCTGCTCTTTAGCTATCACTCCCAATGTTCCCAATTTCTTCCTCCAGTCCCCATGCCTAGACAACCACTAATCTTTGTATCTATATAGATTTCCCTACTCAAGGCTTTCAAATGAATGGCATTATATAATATATGGTCTTTGTGATTGACTTCACTCACTTAGCATGATTTTTTCAAGGTACTCCCATGTTGTAGCATGTATCAACACTTCATTTGTATTTACGGCCAAAAAATATTCCACTGGATGAATAAAACACATTGCATTTATCTATTCATCTATTAATGTACATTTGGAATTTTTCTATCTTTGGCTACTATGAATAATGCTGCTATACAATTCATGTACAGGGACTTCCCTGGTGGTGCAGTGGTTAAGAATCCGCCTGCCAATGCAGGGGACACAGGTTCCAGCCCTGGTCCAGGAAGATCCCACATGCCACAGAGCAACTAAGCCCGTGCGCCACAACTACTGAGCTTGCACTCTAGAGCCCACAAGCCACAACTACTGAAGCCTGTGTGCCTACAGCCCATGCTACGCAACAAGAGAAGCCACTGCAATGAGAAGCCTGCACACCGCAAAGAAGAGTAGCCCCCCGCTCACCACAACTAGAGAAAGCCCATGCACAGCAATGAAGACCCAACACAGCCAAAAATAAATAAATAAATTTACTTTAAAAAAATAAATAAAATTCATGGGAGACGCAAGAGGGAGGGGATATGGGGATATATGTATACATATAGCTGATTCACTTTGTTATACAGCAGAAACTAACACAACATTGTAAAGCAATTATACTCCAATAAAGATGTTAAAAAAATTCATGTACAAGTTTTTGTTTGAACATGTGTTGTTATTTCACTTGGGCATATAGGTAGAGAGAAATTGATGGATTATATGGTAATTCTAGGTTTAATATTTGAGGAACAGCCAGACTGTTTTCCAAAGTGACTGCACCAATTATTATTTGCACCACTCAGTTATGAGGGTTCCAGTTTCTCCATATATCCTCAACAACACTTGTTATGATTCTAGTTTTTTGATTCTAGCCATCCTAGTGGCTATGTAGTGATATTTCATTAGTGGGTTTTTTTTCCTTTTTTTTTTTTTTGGCCATACCACGCAGCATGTGGGATCTTAGTTCCCCAACCAGGGATTAAACATGCTCCCTGCAGTGGAAGTGCAGAGTCTTAACTGCTGGACCACCAGGGAAGTCCCTCATTAGTGTTTTGATTTGCATTTCCTTGATGACTAATGATATGCAGGCTTTTTTCATAGCTCCTGGTCATTTGTATATCGTTTTTGGACAAATATGTATGCAGATCCTTTGCCATTTTTAAACTGAGTTATTTGACTTTTATTATTAAGTAATAATAGTTCTTTATATTTTTCTATATAAGTCCTCTATCAGATATATGATATGCAAAGTTTTCTTCCATACTGTGGGCTGTGCTTTCGCTCTTTTGCCTTAAAAACTTTACATTTAATTGTGGTAAT